GAACCTTACCTCTATTATTTTACATGTTTTCTTTGTTGCTCAATGAATTTGTGGAGTTATTTTGTCAATGACATAATGATTTTTATGCATTATCATACAACTGATTTAATTTTCAAACATTATTTTTTTTTAAATGTAGTCAGTTTACCGTATATATGTCGATGTCACCAAAACATCTCATGGTAAGATTCTCACAACGTACGTACAAGCTATGAATGTAAAGTTTTTTATTCTTTTCAAAATGCGTATTTAGATTCGCAAAGCAAAAAAAAATGATGTAAATATTCGCATGAAAGTACAAAAATGTGAACTCAAACTACTTTATGTAAGGGAGTTTATTTTGTCTCTATTACAAAAAATAAAGTGAGTCTAAATTCACACAATTTTGTTTTCCTTTCCACAAAATAGAAAGAGCTGGCCTAAAGATCTGCAAAGCAGTTACTGGAAAATGAAAAAAAAAAAAAACTCTTACAAGAAGAAGGATAGAAGGATAATCTACTTTTTGAAATAACAATTGAATATGATTCCGATATTTAATTATTATTCGTTAATCACGCAGTCACAAATTTGTTATAAGCTTATTCTCGTTCGTGTTACGTCAACGTGACATGTCCCTCGCCTCATTTTGTTACCATTATTAATTTGTTTTACGTCAAGCTAATTCTTGGAATAAATTAAATAGGTTACTTTACAGAAATACGTACGTACATCAACTTTGTTCCGAAATGGATTCGAACCTTTGTTCCTCAGCCACTACACCATCACACACGGATTCTAATATATGGTTCGATCCGTAACACAAAACAATTCAACCTTAATCAAATCGTACACAGGGGTCAGTGACAGTACAAAAAAATAATACAATGAAAAGCAATACATATAGACATAGTAATAATATATAGCGATACAAAAAAATAGTGATATTGCATCTCATAATACTATTTATCTGATTAATTTCACAAGAAATGATATACACATTATAATGCAACTGATTAATTTGATCAAATCGTTTTTCATTGTTGGTCTGTTTATTTCCTTACAATTTCTCTAGAAAAAACTCTTATTATTCTACATGTAAACCAACAAAAAAAAAGCCCATACGAAGTTTTTGATTACGTAGATACATGCTTTCAACATGTTTGATCCTTCCACTTATTATCTTAAAACGACATGTTTGATATCCATCGTTGTGTTCTTACATGAGTTACATGTTGGTGGAAAATAAAATTACTAAATTTTGTTTGATCTGATGGGTTTAATAGTGATTTAAAACGTATGCGTTGAAGACACTATCACCGTTTACTCCAATAGCACCAGATAATAAGAAAAGAGGAAAAGATGAGAAGAATCTTATTATGTTGATTAAATAATCAATAACATCGTAGCTTTTTTTTTGGGTCAAAAAACATCGTAGCTATTTTCATGTGTACACACTAAATCTAATATGTATGATATAGTATCATAATAATAAATAAAAATACATCATGTTAATATGTTATGAATGCATACATTATTACGTATATATGTAGGCATGTGTGTTTACAAGAATCAGCAAAATCTTATCTTAACATATCATTAACAACATAAAAAAGTCTTATCTTACATATCGGTATAGTTCGTCATGTCTTTTCCACTACAATCATAAGAATGATCTCATTTAATATCATCATGAACGTGGAAGCCGTCAACGTATGACTGAGATTTCTATTTGCATTTTTAATACCTAAATTGATCAATAATGTGTCGCTTAATTCCAATAAAAATAATAATTAAAATCGACGAGAAGTGAGAACCGGTCATTTCGTGTCAAACCAATACGTAGAGAGTCAATTGGTTACTGATTCAATTAATTAAATTTAAACTACTTGGATCAACTTTTAGGTAAGGCATCAATTAGTATCATTTTGTTAGTATACTTTGTATATAATAATGGACTAGGTTGGACAATGAGAAAGAAAGGCTTTACTCAAAATCCAATGAGAAATTACTTTTGTGAGGAAATTAGTAAATTACAAAAAGCTTAGCCCTTTATTTTATTCAATTAACCTTTGTCATTTTTCAACAATGGACTACTTGGCTGATAAAAAATAAGTTTCGAGATCAAAAGATTCGTATTAGGTGAAATTTAAAATTGACGAGGTCCTTCAAGTTTTCAAGGAATTAGTTGAATAATTATGCTATTGAAAATCAGTTAAATGGTTTCATAACATGGGATATATCTTGCCTTTGTTATATGTTATAATATGTGCAAGTGCATTTGTATAACTCAAAATATGTCGTCATATTTATACAAGAGATTCGGTTGTTGAGATAGTTTTTGCATCTAAGATTTTTCTTCTTTGATTCAAATTTGAGTCTTAATGTAGTACAGCTGGTTATGAAATCATAGAACAATCTACGATTATATAGTTTAATAGAAAATGCAAATGAAAAACGCAGAATTATACGAGTTACACAAGCTTTGTTTTTGTGTCTCCAAAAATATTCTTCATATTATAGTCTAGCTTAAATACCCAACGTACAACGTCTCACAGAGTAGATTCAACTGGAATACGAAATAGATTTGCACATAAGTACGCATATGAGGAACCTATAAAACTAAAGTTGTTAAATGATAAAATTGATTTTCTTAGTCCTCTTCGGTTTCATTGCGGTGAAATATTAACCATCCATGACCTACCTTGAAGAGAACCGGATGAAATATTGACCTTGATCCCTAAATTTTTAATGTGTTAGTATCCATGGGCATATAGTTTTCACAATTTTGGCATATACAGAACACAAGAAAAGGCTTAGTGTTGGTCTTATTATGCATGATGCAACCTTAACTATGTAATATGTAAGAGCATAATCAATGGTAGTGGTTAAAGTTGGAGTGCTAAGTATTTTTTTATTATATGTATTCTGTGTAAAATTAGAAACCTATTTTTGAGGTTCTATAAATGCTAAAATTAGAACTCCATTTTAAAGTTTTAAGATTATTTAATTATTTTTAACCATCCGACGTTGATCATGCTCTAATTCAAAAAAATATGTAATTCAACCAATATAGAATGGTGTTGGCTACTAAATGGGCCTACGCTGAGTTCAATAGAGTCAGTTGGCCCAAATAAGCCCATTTCACAAGAGTCAACTTCTCATAGTCGCAGCAAGATCCGTTGTATTGTTAAAAATTGTCTGATGATTCGAGTTTAGTGCACGAGAAGAAGAAAATTCAGACCAATTACCCTTCACATCGTCTGTTTTTGTTCCTTGATCTCTCTATTTACACGTACACAAACACCTAAAACCTACAAAAGGAACTAAAAGACCTAACTTGAGACACATTCTCTAAAGTCTAAAACACAAGACTCACTAATCAAAACACCAACTTTGCTCTCTTTTTTTCAGCTCTTGTTGTTGTGGCTGGTTTTACTCCGTTTTTGAGTAGGAGGAGATCTGATATCTCCAAGAGGACCTAACCGGAGAGAGAGATCACACCCACCAAAGGTAATACCATTTGTCGCATCTATAACACTCGCCGGTCTATTCTTGGACTTGCACGAGGCGGTGACATTGTTAGAGACTGGCAAAGAAGGAAACCGGAACGAATAGCATAAAGGGTAGGTTGAGTACTTGGTGGAAACAGGACGTTTCTCGACCCGGTTCTCTTGCGGTGAGCTTAGAACATCGTTGTGGGAAGTCATACCCGGAAGATTCTTTGGAGCAAGATTGTTTGGTTTCATGAAAAGTTGGTATTGCTTGGACAAAATGTTGTCCAAGTTAGTTGAGTCTTGGCTAAGATAACATCTCGGGTTTATGTTCCGTTGGCTCCTTGAAGCTCTCCTTGGCGTGCAGCCTAAATGCAACGCAGCTACAAAGATACAAGAAAAAAACAAAGACTTGTTCATTGATTTAAGCCAAAAATCCCCAAGAACTCGAATATAATGTTACCTTCAATACAAGGCTGAAGAAATTCCCCGGTTTCAGTTGTTTCATCGAGTCGGATTATGGTGTTAATGGCGTCATTTGTACGGTCTAAAAGTGTACTCATGTCCATATACTCAGCCTAACATTGAAACCCAACAAGAAAGTAAATAAAAAGACAACCTAATCAAGTACGAATCTAAATTCTCTTTATCAAGTCCATAATAAACAGTGACATTAAATCCAATGTTCACTAGTAAGACTATCAATCTCACTGTTCAAAGAGGGCAACACATGACAAACAAACAATCATTTTGCAGAAAAAAAGTGAAATTTTTGAAGATTTTAAACAAAACCCAAATTGAGAAATTAAAAAAAAAAACAATTGGTAAGAAGAAAAAACCTCAGAATTGGCTTTGGAATACATGATTTCTTCAGCTCTCAAGACAACAACAGGAAGCTTCTCTTGCCATTCTGTGTTCTTCTTGGTAGATTGGCTATGAATCTCACAAACAATCCTACAAAAAAAAAGTTTCAAAAGAACCAAATTTGAGTTAAAAAAGAAAAA